CCACTGTAATTTTTATTATATTTTTGATTTAATTTTTTATTAAAAAAATAATTAATAAATAAAAATATAATTTCAATAATATATAATTTTTGTTATATTTTTGATTTAATTTTTTATTAAAAAAATAATTAATAAATAATATAATATATAATATTTATTTACTATTTTTTTTTAAAAAAATATAAAACACAATAAAGAAAAATTTTTTAATTATAATATTATACTATATTTTTTTTAGAAATATAATTTTTATATAAAAGAAGTTGTAAAATCAAAAGCATATTTTTTTATCTTCAAACAAGTACTTTAGATAACAAGTCAAAAGTATTGTTAAAGTTTTTGCTTGTTGTTTATTAATAAAAAATTGAATAATATTCTTATATAGCTAAAAAATATAGATTAACAAACTACAAAATAATAATAATACTTAAGAACTTGAATGAAAAAATATTTTGTAATTAGAATATTTTCTTTATTTCTTTTTACAACTTTTCTCTTTGAAATAATACTTTTTGAACTGAAGTATTTTATAACTAAACTTTATCTGACTATAATAGATAGTAATAATAATACTTTTCAAATTAGACAGCAAATGATTAATTCTAATTGAAGATTTTTCAACTAATTAAAAACCTGCAAAAAGACAAACAAAATAAGTAATTAACACAAATATAGAAAACATATATGCAAAAGCAGGTTTTAAATAGTTTTTTCTGTTTCATATCCATATATCAATATCTTATAAAAAGTATGACAATATACTATATACTTATAAGTGTATATATTTCTTAAGCAATTACGATAAAGTAATATAGATACTTTTTCCCAAAATGAATTTTTTGGTTTATAGTTATTACGAAATACACAAATATAGAAAACAATAATAATAGAAAACATAGCATTGATTAATACGATCTTTTGCTATAAAAAAATGAGTTAAGTGATTAAAGAGATGCTTATCAAATTTTTTGTATTGGATGACAGAGAACTTGTTGGATAAGTCTTGACAAATTAATTCTTCTCCTACACTATACTTCCTAAGAAATATAATGTAGGATCAAAGGTTACACGGTAGAAATTAATCCTGCATTACATTTAATCAATCTTAGTGAATTATCTTTTATTATAGCTTAGCTAGCATTTTCATATATTCGATATATCTATTGATGTATGCTATACAAAATATTCCCAAAAGGTAAAAAAAAAAAAAATTTTATTTTATTTATTATTTCAGGTTTTTATTTGATCGGTGCCAAATATAATTAATTTAATGGTGACAGACAAGTAATATAAGTTAAAGAATAAAAGATATAATTGATAACCTTTTATTAAATTCCTGCAAGTTACAAAGGCACGTTTCTTCATGAACATACACACAAAATTATATCATATGGAGATGCCACTAACGAAATTATATCTATTTAATAACTAAATTACTTTTTATTAACATTATATATTATATTAATTGCATCTTCGATCTACATACCAAATGAACCCTGACACGATTATTGCGTAAGAAAAAAAAAAATTAACATTTACACCATTTCACTATTCTTCAATAACAGAAATCGGACGGAACGCCGGAGATATCCTCGAATTTGGCATCCTATCCCCTCTCGCATTCGTATGCGACCATATATTAATTTTGGTGCTATCCGTTAAGGAGATATTATTTTGTTTCAACAGCCAACTCCGAATTTGTACACTTTCGGCAGAATTAATGGGCCGCTGAATTATTTCGTTTTCTGAATGACTTCTTTTGTAAACAAGTCGTTTGTTATGATTTAACTCTTTTTGAGAGGATAGGTTATTCAAGAGGTCTGGTCCAGGATACGAATATGGAATAAAAATGGAGGAAGATGAGACGACAGGTAATATTATTTCGCCAGACCACCTTGACGACGGAAATGTCGAATACCTGGTTGACGTTTGTTTAGTGATAAGTTTGGTAACGGGTATATTATGATTGGTTTTTAACTTCTTTTCAACCACATCAAGATTTAGATTTTCCATCGCCTCTACTTTAGAGGTTGTTGGTGACCGTTTCTTACGTAGAAAATTACCAATAGATGTTTGTAGTCCATTATTCGCAGACTTGGATGATTTTTGATTGTCGCTCAGCGACGCTAGATTTTTATTAGTGTTCGCGCGATTTGATGGATCGGAAAGTGGTGAAGCTGGTTTTGTAACGAGAATGGGTTGTAGTGAGGAAGTAGGGATACGAGTATTAAGGAATACTGCGATATTTGTTAAGGTTTCCTTAGAGTGTTTTCCGAAAACCCCAAGTAACATTGGATAGCTGTGAGGAATTTAATAAAAAAATGAGTTATTGTGTTAATTAGAAGAATTTTATAAAAAGTGCATACCTATGAACCATATCTTTATCGCACTCGATAACAACATCCGGATTGGTTTCATTCATATCGTTTTCCATTGCTCTAATCATTTCGTCAACAGAAAATTCACTTCCTTCTTCATTGTTATTTTCATTCTCCATAACCTTCGTCCTCAATTTCTCCAAATTCTTTGAATTCACACATCTTCGACAAAACATTTCAATGTCATCTTTAAAGATCTCTCGGCCACCATATGAAATGAACAACGGAGGAAACTTGGCGAGCAAGTCTTGTGGAGTGTGCAACGGTGATATCAAGGGATTCGTGAAAGGGTCTATTTCAGATGTATCAGATGTTAATTTCTTTTCTTCAGTCTGCGGTGATGAGATGGGAGGCAATGGAGAAGCAATCATTTTGACGTCGGAAAAACTTTCAGAGACATCAGGTGCCTGGCAAGGCTCGAGACTTTTTCGTATCCAACTTCCACGTTTAATATTTGCTATATCATCCAGATCCGC